TCTCTCTGTACCCATGCCAGCATTTATCGTTTTTTGACTTTTTAATACTGGCCATTCTGACAGGGGTAGGTAGTATCTCATTGTAGTTTTAATTTTCTCTTCCCTGATGATTAGTGATGTTGAGCATTTTTTCATATTTATTGGCCATTTGTCTATCTTCTTTTGAAAAACTTCTGTTCATGTCTTTTGCCCACTTTTTGATGGGATTGTTTGATTTTTGTGCCATTCATGTATTATTTAAAACACTCATCTTTTAAAAGTGTTCATATTGACTTACAACATGGGATGAAGATATAAGTCTTGACTTAGATATTGCCTTTTCAGTAACGCCAACCCTGACCACCATATTGAAAATTGCAATATACTCCCCCCTGGCATTACCTAACTCCTCTTAAGTTGTTCTAATTTTTCTTTTTTCCAATGAACTTAAGGAAAAACTCTCTAATATATATTAAAGGTGTATCACAGTTATATGGTATATAATTCATATTCTAGTTAGTCTATTATATGCTGTATAACTGTATTGTATACTTTGAATATATGATACAATTTTCCTTTTCATTATGTTTATTATTGTTTCTCTTTGTTAAAATGTAAGCTCATAGAAGAAGGAAATCTTTGTTTTGCATTGCTGTTTTGTTTACCCAGAGCAGAGCTTGACATTTAGTAGGTTTTTATACATATTTGTTAAATTAATAAACAGAACTATTTTTAAAGAAGAGATAAGCCATGCATGACACATAAGGGAATAGGAGAAATAAATAAATGATAAAATAGAACTAATTGCTATATTTTCTGAGTTTCTTGGCAGAAAGGCAAAAATGGTAAACTACAAAGCCCACTTTTGATGTAAATTGGAAATTATCTTTTACCTTTCATTAAACTATGAAAGAATTACTGCAACGGCCTTGTCTCTCCACTCTGAAATTCATCTTTCTCACTCTTACAGAAACATTCTTGCTAAACTGCTGCTTTACTACTGAATATTTCTTTACCTATTCAAAAACCTAAGGTTTTCTACAGGATAAAGCATTAACTTCTTAGTGGCATTCAGAGTCATTATCAACCTGACCCTGATTTATTCTCTGTCTTTTTCACTCTATAGTTTTTCTAAACGTTCAATTCCAAGATGATCTACTTACTGGTCACAATGTTAATAAAAATTATTCTAAGAGTATTGCATACCCCTTGCTCCTCTCTTGTATTTATATGGTTCCCATTGTCTTAGTTTTCTAGGGCTCTCATAACAAAATACCAGAGACTGGGTGACTTAAAGAACAGATATTTATTTTCTCACAGTTCTGGAGGCTGGGAAGTCAAAGATAAAGGTGTTGGCAGGGTTTGATTTCCGGTGAGGGCTCTCTTCCTGACTTACGGGTGGCTGCCTTCTTGTGTCCTCACATGAGAAAGAGATCTCTAGTGTCTCCTTCTCTTTTATAATGACACCAATTCCCCTAGATCAGGGCCCCACCCTTATGACCCCATTTAACCTTAGTTACCTCCTATCTTCAGTACAGCCCCTATCTCCAATACAGCCACATGGAGAAGGGGGAGTTAGGGCTTCAACAAATAAATTTTGGTGAAACACAATTCAGTCCATAGCACCTGTCTACCCATTCTGGGTTGCGTTTGACTTGTCAATATCTTTCTCTCTTTCTAAAACCTGCTCAAATTATTTGTGTCTTAAAAACAGTTCACAACTCATTGATTTTTTTGTTTGTTTTCCTCTTAACTCCTATGAGAACTGTCAGAGGCATTCATTTGGAAATGAATGATACACTACTACCTGACATGTCTAGTATTTGGATATTATTTATCACTGGTGCTATTTAACCTTTAAAGTACTCGTAACCTTTCTTCGTAACTAAATTGTGAGGTCCTCAATGTCAGAGACCATGACATATCTCTTCATGTGGTATAAGCACCCAACAAGTATTCAATAAATATATGTCAATTTTCTGTTCCATAGCTATCAATGATTTTAAGCACCTGCATATATAATAACTAATTTATATCTCTTCAGATTACCTTGATAGGTAATACTAATCCTATTTTAAAGATGAAATAAAAACTCAGACAAGCTATGTAACTTGTCTAAAATAACACGTTAGCAAGAGCACTAGGTCTAAATTCTAAGATTGATTCCTTGTTCAGATGTCTATTCATCCCATTTATTAAACTGTGTTCAGTAGAGCAAGAGTTTCTTTCTTTTTTTTTTGAGACAGAGTCTCACTCTTTTGCCTGTGCTAGAGTGCCGTGGCGTCAGCCTAGCTCAAACTCCTGGGCTCAAGCAATCCTACTGCCTCAGCCTCCTGAGTAGCTAGGACTACAGGCATGTCTAATTTTTTCTATACATTTTTAGTTGTCCAGCTAATTTCTTTCTATTTTTAATAGAGACGGGGTCTCGCTCTTGCTCAGGCTGGTCTCGAACTCCTGAGCTCAAACAATCCACCCGCCTCGGCCTCCCAGAGTGCTAGGATTACAGGCGTGAGAGCAAGAGTTCCTTTAGCTGTCCTTCAAGCAACTCAGGTAGACTGAGATATAATAAATGCTAATTGAATAAAGGATGTGGCAGGAGTCATAATCACTTGCTTTCATATAACACCGCCAAGTCATCACTCAAGATGATGTTGGTACTTGGAGTGCTCATATAACCTGTGCACTTCCCCAGAGCTGAAAACACACAGCCTCCCCTTCCTTCAGTATAAGTGAGCAGTCACCAACTCTAAGGTATGCATTATTGTACTTTTCAGACCAGAATCTGCCTCCAGATGGACAGTGCAACATCTTTCCCATATCACTGTGACGGCGGCCTCAGTATATCAGTAGCAGGCTCTGCCTACCAGGACGCCCTGAAAGAGAGAGGTTGTGAGAGCTGAGAGCATTTGTGGGCTAGAGCCCCTCAGTGGACAGCCTCCAGGGACGCAGAACTCCTTTGAATTCTTCTCCTCTGGACATGATCATTTTGCAAAAGGCTGCCAGATCCACGAAAAGAGCTGGCATCTTTATTCCTGACCCAGAATTTGGCCTACAAGAGTACATTATACAAATAAACATATTTATTCTTCAACTTTTTTAATCAAAAGAGACAGCACCTTCTTGGAAAGAGACTGAAAAATTTTAACTTCAGAGAATGCTGCCTTTGAACTTCAATCCTATTCTATTAGTATGAACTTTTGCAACTTAATTTCTCTGGGTTCGGTTTCATTTATAAAATGAAGATAATTCTTTACCTTGCATGGTTGAGCCAAGATTATAGATAATATGTTAAGATGCTGGAATATTGCCTGACATAGGAGGTCAGTAAGACAGAACTATTACAGAGCGATGGGTTTTATTAATAAAATTCTTTCTTCCACTTTGAGTAACCCCAGATGGTAAGGGGAAATACTGTAGGCTGTGGCTAATAGGACTGAAATATTAAGTAAGAACTTAATAAATTTATCTTACACTCTAAAGACAAATTCCACTCAGTGCATGGTTGGGCCTACATTTGGGGGTATAGCACACATGTGGCCATGGGAGTTACCTCACCATCTAAGAGCTGCTATTCCTCCGGCCTTCTGGACTAGGGAACAGACTGTAAGTCATCCCCAGTTTAACTTCACTGGTTAACTTTCACTGTCCTAAATTGGAGACCTTTAACTAGTTTTTTAATAGTCATTCAAAGAGAGAAGTAGAGACATATATCTTGATTTTCCTTTAATTTTTTATAAGCTGCAAGTACTAACTGAGAGACCACAGTGTTTGTATGTGATCCCATGGGCAATTATTAATAATAAGTAGGTTATGTAGAATCATGATGTTCCTTTCCCTTTTTAGTTTTTGTCCCAATTTGTATGGTGAGGGGGCAAGGAACCCAGTGTCTCTGTGCATCAGCCACAGACAGCCAGCGGCAAGGTCAGCTGTGTGCTGGAGCCAGCTCACAGCACCTGGCCACAACCTGTTATGCACATCTCTTCCCAATTATGTGACCAGTGATAACATATTGGTAGCTTGGAATCAGCCACAGTGAAAGCACTTACATCACAGGAATGGGCATGTACTACAAATAAGGGTTTTTTAGTAGGGGAGACAAGGTCGCTGAATATTTACTAAAAAGCCACTGAGTATGACCCTAACACATCCTTACCCCCTGTGCTTATCCCAACCGAAGGGTATTTACCAAACACAGAATCTCAAACACAGACTGGCTGTGATTGGACTTTGATGTCTGCCAGAGGGGAAAGAATTATAATAGTAAACATTTCACACGCTGTAATGCTATCTCTTTTGGATAACTGAAAGTGTATTTACTTAATGGCTCTGAAAAAATGAAAGACTAACCCCAAAAAATGAATGTTGCAGACAGATGAGTGAAATAATAAACACAAACTTTGAAAGGTTCGTGCCGAGGAGGCCCACACGTCACTCCAAACCTCCTTGGTCTGGCTATCGGGCCAGAAATGTCACAGACACACGCTGGCGATGGCGCTTGCCAGCGTTTCCTGGGTTTGGCTCAGTCAGGGACACCGCGGATTGGGCTTGACTTCCGATTCCACAAGAGCCATGAAGTAAAGGGATCCCGCAAACAAAACAAAGAACGTGAAAAGGAAAACAGGAAGGGAATTTGACCAACGACTTCAACCCTCAGCAAGGATCCGGTTTTATTTTTATGGCGAGTGCTCTCGTGTCGTGTAGACCAACTCGCGCTCCCTGCTTCCTCTCCTCCCCTCACGTTCCCCTCAGCAAGATTTCAACGCGCAGGTACAGAGCCCATGCCACGAATTCATTGCTTCGGCTTGTGCCAGCTCATGGAGGATCGCTGGCAAGAACCCGGGAACCTGCTTTTGGCGCCCATCAACCTGGCAGATGTAAACCTTCAACTTGCAGCGAAAGCAAAGTCGGTGTGTTTCCCGTGCATCGTGAGCAGAACATACGCAGCGTTTTATCTGCTCCCTGAAGACTATCGCGTCTGCTCAAATGCAGCATAAAAAGTAATCGAGGGGCACCCTGTGAGCTCATTCCGTCTTTGCCAGAGACGCTCGTCCCAGAGCAGGGGCCACGTCCAACAAAGCAGAATGGCGGCCGTCGTCGCCGAAACAGGAAGTCATTCCCTCTCCTCCCAAATTCAAGGTTCTTTCTAATGCAGCATTAACTTCTACCTGGAAACAAAAACTCCTGAGTATTTTACCACAATTTTCAAAAAAAAAAAATGAGGTGCGACTGGATAGAGGCAGCCAGGAATGTCAGGGAATGAGGTACCAGGTTGGGAGGTGTGCCAGCATGAGCCACGATCTCTCTCTTTAGACCCATCAAAGTTCAAAGCTGCCTGGCTGTGGCGCCACATGGGAGCCTCTTTGCTTTTATTGCTCAGCAAGGATTTTGGCCTGCTGGCCTCCAGGGAGGTGCCTACCACCTCTTTATCCACAGCTGGTGTTTGAATACCTGTCCAACTTTGGCCGGCCTAGAATTGTACATATATTCAAAGTCTGTTGAAATGTCTGAATTAACGAAATAGACAAGACCAGGACTTCTCTCTTTAAAGATCAGAGAACAATCGTAAATATTTACTTTGAAGCCTATACTACTCTGCCTCTGCCTGATCAAAGGGGAAAGTGGGCTCTTAGAGGAGAGGGTGGGAAACTGGGACCACGCTTCGGTTTGCTATGCATTGGATCCCTTACTTTGTCTAGCCACGCCCATGTACTTACATATACTGATGAAGAGGGGGTAGACTATAACGGTCATGTCCTTGGCTTCACACATCAGACATTTGGGATTTGAATCCTCGCTCCACCACTTGGTGGCTTGGGCAATTACTTAGAAGGTTAAGTCTCAATCTCCTCATTCATCACATGTGGACAATAACCGCAGATGGATTTGCTGTGAGGAAATAAGTGAGTCAATGCATGTGAAACACTCAGCAGAAGTCTTGTCTCACAGAAAGCACTAAATATGGGTAGCTTTTATTATTACTAAACATATCAAATTCAGCCTCTCCCAACTTATTTGATAAAACAGAATGCCCCCAGGCTACAAGGTAGGGTAGCTTCAGCAGAGGCCCATGTTTCAGGAGGTGCCGGCTGGACTCATCAGTTTATGGACACGGGAGCAGCTTTCTTAGCATCATAGCCTCCTTCTTCTCTTTCTCCCTTCTCTCTCTTCTCTTCTCTTCTCTCCCTCACCGCACTGACACAGAGCAGCGTCCCTTAGCACCACTTGCAGATCTGACCCTGTGGCTTAATACTATTTATTTTTGATTAAATAAGTTAATATTTATTAATACTGTTATTAATATCCTTTTGTTTATTCTGGCTGTGTTTAGTCCTTCCCACATCAGCAGGCAGGGTATTGCCTGGCGCCAATTTGTTTGATTTTCAAAGTGAGAGATTGAGTTAACCTCTCTCCCAAGGGGAAGAAAATCTTTCTTGATTGTTCCCGCAAGAAAGAGCCAGGCTTAGGAAATTCCCCCAAGACAACTAGTTCTGTTTATTTTCCATTTATTGATTTTTTGAGGGCCTACTATGTGCAAACACAGGCCTACCCCTAGGGATACAAAAACAAGTTAGACACCATCACTTCCTCAGAGCCAGATGGCTGAGACTGTCAGTTCATCACTGTGTGTTACTCAAGTCGGGGGGCAATGAGCTAGAAACATAACTGGTGTGAGCGCAACACAATGTGCTCTCAGAACTTGTTGTTCTGAATCATCAGGTCATTGATCTTTCCGTGACTAAACTTCATGAAGTTATAATAAATAAAATCAGACCGGTATGGAAGGCCTACACAGCAAGAGTGTGGAGGCCTGGCCTCTCTAGTCTCTAGGTTCATAGACCGGCCCTGACACCTGGTACATCATCCCAGATAAGTTAACTCACATTTCTCTGTGATTTAGTTTTCTCATCCATAAAACGGGGATAATCATAGTGCTACCTCTTAGGGCCACAGTAAAAATTAGGTGAGATAATGCACATAGAATGCTTAGGGAAGTATTATAGCTGATATTTGAGAAGCCCTGAATACGTATTAGTAACAAAAAATAGTAATTTTACAAAAGATTATTCAAAAATATGTAACTACTCTTTTCACAGAGAAGGTGAAAAGAAGGTGAAAGAAGGTGCTTAACCTTTGCTTACAAAGCAAATGGAGTCTTTAAAACTCTTTAATACACTACATCACTGTTAACAGTACTTCAAGTTGTGGTGTTTCTCATCCTTGGCTGTGTATAAGAATCACCTGGGAAGATTTGCAAACACCCATGCCTGGGCTTCACCCCTAGATATTCTGATTAATTGCTCTGAGATTGGATTTCAGCCCTGAAAATTTTTTAAATCTCTCCAAGTGATTAGATGGTACAGCTAATTTGGGGAATGACTTGAGTTAGAAGAATGACAAGTACAAGTTGATCCTTGATAAATGAAGTTGAACCTGCATGCTCCAATGTTATGTTATTCTTGTGGTTTAGCTTCTAGGGACAATGGGAAGTCAGACTTAAGTAGGTTATTTCGAAAAATGTGGCAGTGAAATCAAATTCCAATTTTCTGTTTGAAATGATCATGTCTAATTGCTAGACTCTCAAAGTGTACTGAAGACCCAGGTTTCTAGGAATATCTACATTTCTACAGTCATTTTTTAAGAAGACAAATATAGGCATGCCTTGTTTTATTGCACTTCACTTGGCTGCACCTTGCGGTTTTGTGTTCTTTACATATTGAAGGATTGTGGCAACCGTGCATCCAGCAAATCTATTGGCACCATTTTTCCAACAGCGTGTGCTCATTTTGTATCTCTGTGTTACATTTCGGTAATTCCCACAATATTTCAAACTTTTTCATTATTATTTTATCTATTATGGTGCTGTATAATCAGTGCTCTTTGATGTTACCATTGTAATTGTTTCAAAGCACCACGGACCACACTCATATATGACAGTGAATTTAACTAATAAATTAAATTCTGTTCTGACTGCTCCACTGACCAGCTGTTTCCTCATCTCTCTCTCTCTCTCTCTCTCTCCCTCTTTTTCTCTCTCTCTCCTAGGGTCTCCTTATTCCTGGAAACACAGCAATATTGAAATGCGTAAATTAATGACCTTACATTGGCCTCTAAGTGTTCAAGTGAAAGGAAGAGTCACAGATTTTCTCACTTGAAATCCAAAGCTAGAAATGATTAAGGTTACTGAGGAAGGCATGTCAAAATAGGGCAAAAGCTAGGACAAATTAGGAATGAAAAGGAAAGTTCATGAAGGAAATTAAAAGTGCTACCCCAGTGAACACAAAAATGATAAGAAAGCAAAACAGCCTTATTGCTGATATGGAGAAAGTTTTAGTGGTCTGGATAGAAGATCAAACCAGCCACAACATTTCCTTAAGCCAAAATCTAATCCAGAGCAAGGCCCTAACTCTCTTCAATTCTCTGAAGATTGAGAGAGGTTAGGAAGCTGAGGGAAAAAAGTCTGAAATTATCAGAGGTTTGTTCATGAAGTTTAGGAAAAGAATCCATCTTCATAAGATAACAGTGCAAGGTAAAGCGGCAAGTGCTGTCAGAGAAGCCACAACCAGTTAGCCAGAAGATCTAACCAAGGTTGCTGATGAAGGTGGCTACACTAAACAACAGATTTTCCATGTAGACAAAACAGCTTTCTATTGGAGGAAGATGCTATCTAGGACTTTCACAGATAGAGGAGAGAAGTCAAAGCCCACCTTCAAAGCTTCAAAGGACAGGCTGACTCTCTTGTTAGGAGTTAATGCAGCTGCTGACTTTAGTTAAGTTGAAGCCAATGCTCATTTACCATTCCAAAAATCCTGCAGCCTTTAAGAGTTGTGCTAAATCTATTCTGCCTGTTCTCTATAAATGAAACAACAAAGCCTGGATGACAGCACATTTGTTTATAGCACAGTCTACAGAATATTTTAATCCCACTGTTGAGACTTATTGCTTAGGAAAAGAAAAAAAGATTTCTCTCAAAATATTACTGCTATTGACAATGCACCTTCCAAGTGCTCTGATGGAGATGTGCAAGGAGATCAATATTGTTTGCATGCCTGCTAATGCCACACCTTTTCTGCAGCCTGTGGATCAAGGAGTAATTTTGGCTTCCAAGACTTATTACTTTAAGTATCCATTCTGTAAGGTTATAGCTGCCACAGACAGTGATTCCTCTAATGGATCTGGGAAGAGTCAATTAAAAACTTTCTGGAAAGGATTCACCATTCTAGATACCATAAAAACATTTGTGATTCATGGGAGGAGGTCAAGATATCAACATGAACAGGTATTTGAAAGAAATTTATTTCAACCCTCATGGATGACTTTGAGGAGGTCAAGACTTCAGTGGAGGAAGTAACTGCAGGTGTGATGGAAATACCAAGAGAACTAGAAGAGGAGCCTGAAGATGGGACTGAATTGTGATTGTGATCACATTTGATCACAATCTCATGATCAAATTTCAACAGATGAGGAACTGCTTCTTATGAGTGAGCAAAGAAAGTGGTTTCTTGAGTTGGCATCTACTCCTGGAAAAGATGCTGTGAACATTAATAAAATGACAGCAAATGATTTAGCATATTAAATCAACTTAGTTGATAAAGCAGTGGCAGGGTTTGAGAGGACTGACTCCAATTTTGAAAGAAGTTCTACTGTGGATAAAATGCTATCAAACAGCATCACATGCTACAGAAAAGTCCTTCGGGAAAACAAGAGTCAATCAATGTGGCAAACTTCATTGTTGTCTCATTTTAAGAAATTGCCACAGACACCCTAACCTTCAGCAACCCCCACCCTGATCAGTCAGCAGCCATCAACATCAAGGCAAGACCTTCCATGAGGAAAAAGATTAGGACTTGCTGAAGACTCAAATGATAGTCAGCATTTCTTAGCAATAAAGTATTCTTAAATTAAGCTATCTACATTGTATTTTTAGATATAATGCTATTGCACACTTAATAGATCACTGCAACAGAAGAAAAGAGAGTGTGGAGATCTCATACCTCTTCTAAATGCCTTGGGCTAGAAGTGACACACACCACTTCTACTGGTGGCCCCTTGGCCAGGACTAGTATTATAACGCTGCCTGACTGCAGGGGGCTGGGAAATCTTTCATGTGCCCAGGAAGAAAGAGACAATGAGATACGGTGAGCAATACTGCTCTTAGCACAGATCCAAAGAAAAATATTTCACAGTGAATTCAAACAATAAGTACATAAAATATGCTACAACCGTGGCATATAACCTACTCATATACATATTTGTTTTCCACATTGAAACACAAATATTCGCAGCTCAATTTAAGCTATTGATAATGTGATTCTGATTAAGATCTAAAGAAGTTTTCCTATATATACCAATTACCTTTACCTAAAAATTTTTGCAAAATCTAGTAATAGAATTTCCACAAGTACAGGAGTTTCCCTCTAAGAATCCAGGTGGCGGGGTAAACTTTGGATTAGCCATCCAATCAATAACCTGCTGTTTATAAAGGTCCCTTCAAATACAGCTGTGAGGTGCTATGCTGGAAAACGGCAAGTTTACCAGATTA